CCCCCCCCCCCCCCCCCCCCCCTAGCCATACTCACCGAATTTCGACGAAAGAAATGCCTGGATATACATGCCGTTAGGATTCCTTGGAGCAATGTCAAGCACGGCCGTGAGAGTGTTGCCAATATCCTCATTTGACACGCTTTGCTTTTTGCACGCATCGAGTTTGTTCCATCGTCCCATCTGCGCAGGTGTATACATTCGGTATTTTTTTTGTTGCATACCTAGCATAGTATGACCGCACTACGAATCACTTGAGTGAAATTTTCTCTACGTTTTCTTAATAGGCGTGTCTCCATCATGTCTTGCGTTTATGTCTGGGTATTTGACTGGCTTTCCGCATGACCTCTGCTGTGCTTTCTGTGTCTTGTTTGTAAACTAACGGACTTGTTAATAGGTATGGGACGATGCGGGTACAGAAGGTCGAGCAGGGTCTATCTGGATGGTGAACTCCCTCCACCTCATGGCCGCCGCCGTGGGCCACGATCCTCCCGAAGGACCTTTCTGGGACCTCAAGGTAAGATACATGAGATAACCTACATGTATGTTGTCGACATATATTGACGCACGGTAGGTTGTCTGCACTCTGGTAATGTATGCTGATGTGCGTGTGTGCACTCTGGTTATGTTATGTTGTGGGTATTCCTTCTTTTTTCGTTCCGGCACCGTCGTTCGTTTGTTCATCGAACCTTTGTGGTTTGTTATGTTTGTGTTTGTTTTCTTGTTGCCTTCCCTCATGCCCAGGACGACCGTTTCTTCTTGACTCCAACGGAGGTGGCCGAGATTGAGGCGTCTGCCACAGGGGGCACGACGACCAAGTTCAATCCCAGCAGCTCCAAGCCTCCCTCCGTGCCTTCGGGGACTAGTTAGGTCGAAAAGGGCCACAACACTTCTGACCTTGCCTGGCCAAGCATCGACTGGTGTACCAGTAACTTGAGTTTGCTGACACTTACTTTGATTGTGCATTTGGGTCTGATGTATTCTATCGTATTAGGTGTTTGGTAACGGTCGTGACGGTTGAAGCGCCCGGTTTTGATGACGCAAGGATGTATTGATAGAAGGGCGCGCGTTGGGTGTTGTGTTGTGTTGGGTGTTATTATGAAGTAGAAGTATTGTAGACGCAGTTGCGTAGAAAAAACGTATTGTAGGCAGCTTGGCTTGATGACTCGTGGAGATGGGATCAACGGCAGCTTGGGCGAAAATTCGGGTCATATTGAAAACGACCCAAAGGTCTTGGTTAATGTCGGCGGGGAAGATTGCGTGGGGAAGAGTTGGTTTTGATGTCGTTGTCAGGCGCCGGCGTGGTCTATGTTGACCGAGATATCTGTTGGTAACCGAAGGAACAAGTTCGGTATCTTTTGTAAACGCATTAATAGATCTTAGGTTGGAATTCGTTCAACGAACCACTGCTCGCGTGAGTTTAGAAATGGTCGCGCACGGTGTACGACACGCACAACAATTGGATTTGGAGGCTCGATCTGTTATGTATATGAAAGCAAGCCGACGAATATCGTCGGCGTTGGCTTAGTCCAGAGCTGTTTTTGTTATTTGCACTGTGCGTCAGGTTTTGAGATGGAAACGGGGAGGAACCCTCTAGAACATGTATGCAAAAGTTACGCTCTCATGTCTAATTTCCGTGTCGGTTAGCGACATTGGTGTCCGTCCTTCTAAATTAGGGCGAGAAAGGCACCGAACGCGGGCCGCCAAGTTGTTCATGTTCTGAAACGTGATAATAAATAAGGCAAGCAGTGCAGGAGGAAATCTGGGGCCTAAAAACAACATCAGTGTGACTTTGCTCCGCTGCGTGAGCCCGGCAGATAGTCCGAAATGCACACGAAAAGGTGTGTGAACTCATGTTTAGACTGGCCGCGGAAAAGGTGGAGGTGTCACGTGGCCCAGAATAGTGTGCCACTTTTGGAGAAATAGACAGATCCTTTTTTTTGTACGCTGGTGAGAGCCATTTCGCGCGGTGCGATGGTAAGTGCGATATACGTACTGTACATTTTTTTGCTTCGCGAAAGGCCCCCCACACCCATGGAAAACGCATTGATTGGCTCGCACACGGTATTGTACTTGTCGTATGCATACAGGAGAGGAAAATCCAGCTTCGACTTTTTGACCGAACTGTAAGCGTGTAACCTTCAGTCGTCAAATGCACGTACACCCTCCTGCTCGCAACCGCATCCATCCGAAAACTGTAATAACACTATTGTTTCTTCCTCCGGCGAAATTCACCAGGTGGTGATATCGACCCGAACAAAGAGACATGCAGTACACCCTTGATTCCGTTCTATAGTCTACACGTTGAAGAAGAGATGGAAGGGAGGCCCAAAAATAATCACACCACCTGTAGTTGACAACCTTCCGTGCACACGTGTACTAATTGAGCACCCCCGTCCCTGCAGCCCGCCACCTCCTCGGGACCGATGTGCGAGGTACGTATTATAGCAATCTCAAGGAAGTGGAGCAACAGACCCCAAACGGGCGCAAGCAGCAATTCCTGCACGACACCGGAGAACAACAGAGGTGCCCCCGCCGCCTTCAAACAGGCTTCATGTGAGCAGCTCACTGATGTTGAGGGAGGCTGGCTCTCGACCTTTGTAGGCATACACTCACACTTGACGCTGGATGCCAAGCGGCCCGCATGCACCATGCGGGAGGTCCCGCCGCAGGTACTGCCGAACCGGAACTTTGGGGCCCGCCGGAACCAACCTACTGTACCTAGATCATCCCGTTCGACTGCTGTGTGTATATCTCGAATGGGTAGTCTTTCTGTGTGTGGTTTTATTATTCCTTAATACCTACCGCCCGACGCCCGACATTCGCGATCTCATCCGCGCTGGATGACATTCTGGCGACCCAAGTGGGACGAAGGCCTACATATAAGCATGAAACACACTGGAGGAGGCTGGAGGCTGGAGGAGTACATGACAACCGCATTGGAAAAAGGAACGGGTTGGTTGACGAATCCGAAGACGGCAGCTGCTTCCGGTGTACTGCTGGACCCTTTCGGGCATATTCGACCGTGTAGACTGCTGTAGTAGTCTCGATCGAGTCTACTCTACAGTTAAATAGCATCGTTGCTCGCGTAAACCAGGATCGTTTTCTGCAATAGATCGAGTCTGCAAGCTGCTCGCGTAAACCAGGATACCAGGTTCGTTTCTCTCACAGTGCCGAGCTTGGTTCAACTGCGTCATCGCGAATCAAGATCCAGCAGTGGGACTTCATTGCTGTTGCTCCTCCTGTCAAGTTCACTCTCAATCCCGCTCACTCTCAATCCCAACACCTTCAATTCAGCTCTCTCTCCTAGATAGCTTGATTTCGAACGGGCTTGAGAAGAACCACGGTAATGGATGTGAGCGGGGCTGTCCGGGCGGGCGTAGTGGAGAGCAAAACCGACTCTCCAAGGTCTTGATATGGAAGGCTTTCGAAGGATGCATGCGACCGGACGAGAACGGGTGAGACACTCCCCTTCGATGCAGTACTGTACATCAATGATGCAGGCTCATGCATACGTAGTGCACGATCAGTGTTGAAGAACGAACGATTATTGGTATTGTAGCCATCCCTACGTCGGGCGGAAGGGCCGATGTTAGATAGACGAGAGAACCTCATCTCACCACAAGCAAGCGAATTCCTCCAACCTCTCTACGCTAACCCCCCACGATACTGATCATTTTGCCACCAACAAAACCCACTCACCATACAAACCATGCACCGCAAATACCACATGGTGTACGGGCATACGTGTGTCATTGACTTCCGCAGGGAACTCGAGACCAACAGTGACGAAGAAACACACGATGATGAGCATATTAGATATATTGGGGGTACTCGTAGCATAGTATGACGGGTTATCTTTGGTACACGTAACTACGGAAATTGCAGTGATGGGGTACGAAGGGTCCAGAACTTTCTGGACATTTTCCTTGGAAGTGAGAAGAGTTTGATGGAGATTCGGATAGGTCTGTTTGGTACTTTAACCGTGATGAGCGTGACGCGTGCTTGATGCCGTGACAGATTTACGAGCGCAAGCACGCCCCCGAAGAATACAATACTTTTGCATTACGTTTTCAACACGTTTCCTACCCATCCACGCTCCGCCATGAGCCACCCGCTTTGAGCTCCAACCACAAAGAACCGAGCCACCCGAATTATCGATCACGCTAGCGTATGACACGTCGTCTACGAGATTCGCGGTCGAGCTTGGTTTAGGAGCATCGCTTTGCGGCGATCAAGAGCAGGGTCACGATGGCCACCAGGCGCGAAGATGAATCCCGCCAAGCAGCGGAAGCCCGCCAAGCAGCGGAGGACGCCAGGATCGAAGAACTGGTCAATCAACGAGAGAGTAGCAGCTCGGATGGAGCAGCTGATGGAGGAGAAACTGGCCAAGAAGATGGCCGAGATGGAGGTACGGCATCGAGCCGAGCGGCAGAGATCAGAAGATCTCCGGCGAGGAAATGAAGAACAAGAGGCACCACACCAGCAAGAACCTGGGGGCCCAACACCCAACCCTTCCGCAGACGATCTGGCCGACGCGATTGCGACTGCCATGGCCGGTCGCCTCCAGACTTCATCAGGGGATATCGGTGCAGTGCCTCACCCTGCAACTCTCCGTATGACTGAAAGTAGACGAATTGAGCTTTGAGAATTTTCTGCCCGCCAAGCAGCGGAAGCCCGCCAAGTAGCGGAGGATATTGGTTTTTGTTGTTTAGAGGATTTTCTGCCTGCCAAGCAGCGGAAGCCCGCCAAGTAGCGGAGGATATTGGTTTTTGTTTGTTTTGAGAATTTTCTGCCCGCCAAGCAGCGGAAGCCCGCCAAGTAGCGGAGGATATTGGTTTTTGTTTGTTTTGAGAATTTTCTGCCCGCCAAGCAGCGGAAGCCCGCCAAGTAGCGGAGGATATTGGTTTTTGTTGTTTTGAGAATTTTCTGCCTGCCAAGCAGCGGAAGCCCGCCAAGTAGCGGAGGATATTGGTTTTTGTTTGTTTTGAGAATTTTCTGCCCGCCAAGCAGCGGAAGCCCGCCAAGTAGCGGAGGATATTGGTTTTTGTTTGTTTTGAGAATTTTCTGCCCGCCAAGTAGCGGAAGCCCGCCAAGTAGCGGAGGATATTGGTTTTTGTTTGTTTTGAGAATTTTCTGCCCGCCCAGCAGCGGAAGCCCGCCAAGCAGCGGAGGACACCAGGCGCGAAGATATTGGTTTTTGTTTGTTTTGAGAATTTTCTTGATTGTTTTGGAGAGATGGTAAAGAGGAATTTGGTTTGATGGTTTGTTTTGTTTTGAAGTAAGCAGGACTGCTGACAAGGCGTGCCTTCGTGGTACGGTCGACTACGGGTCATTTTGGTTTTTCTCGGAGCATGACGATGCATACGAGTAGGGGGGCTATTAGATATATTGGGGGTACTCGTAGCATAGTATGACGGGTTATCTTTGGTACACGTAACTACGGAAATTGCAGTGATGGGGTACGAAGGGTCCAGAACTTTCTGGACATTTTCCTTGGAAGTGAGAAGAGTTTGATGGAGATTCGGATAGGTCTGTTTGGTACTTTAACCGTGATGAGCGTGACGCGTGCTTGATGCCGTGACAGATTTACGAGCGCAAGCACGCCCCCGAAGAATACAATACTTTTGCATTACGTTTTCAACACGTTTCCTACCCATCCACGCTCCGCCATGAGCCACCCGCTTTGAGCTCCAACCACAAAGAACCGAGCCACCCGAATTATCGATCAGAGCAACATGTGCCAGAGCTTGTACAGGTGGAGGAGATTGATACTACAAACCGTATACATTTGTACTTCAGGCCTTAGGTCAAAGTTGCTACCCAACGTGCAGCGACGATTCCGAATTCATTCGCGACTCCTCGATGAT